GTTGTCTGATAATAATATGTAGACAAGTATAGAAAAAATTATGGTTTCAATTGCTAAGTGTCTGCAATGCATAATTCTGTAATGTGCTGAGTTACAATTCATTGATATTGGTAGATCTTTCAGGAAATAAAAACAGCCCTGAAAAGGGAAGGTTATGGACAAAACGAGGAACTCCTTGGAGCAGCTTATATTTCAAATGTTTTTTTTTTTGTTGTTTCTTTCTTTTAAGCAAGACATGTTATGACAGCTCTCTACAAATAACTTTCTGCCTGTAGGTCACAATGGTGTTACTGTAAAATGTTCTTACAGCCTTCACTGTGCATTCTCTTAACTTTCCCTTGTAACATTGCCTGGGAAAACAGCATTTTCAGGAGAATGTCAACTCTTTCAGTCAGAAACATTTGGTTAATGTAAAAAGGGGAGGGAAAAGCAGTTTCAGTCAGAAGTAACGTGTTGAGGTATTAGATCTGATTTTAAGAGCAATGAAGCAGTAGTAGAAATTGCGCTGTGTATTTGACAGGCCTTTGGGAATGTTTTGATTTTTTTTTTCTGATTAAACTTCTAAACTGTGTTTATAGCTCTTAACACAATTGGTCTAATTCAAGTTGAAATGGTGGGATCAGTAAACTAACAAATTTTAGTGATTACCTTCAGCAATCTATGAAGGGTGTACTGTATTGGGTCTTCAGTAGTTATATAAACAGTCAGATATTAACAAAATGCTTTAAAAACAGGTTTGTCTGGCTCTTGGCTGTATGCAAATAAAACTAAGTTGCATATGTAATAGCATTAAAATAGTATTTAATGTCAAAGGAAAGAAAGTGCCTTAAAGCCTTTATTACTTTGGGGTTTTTTGAGAAATCTTCGAGTAAATGATACTTTAAGTGATGTCAGGGGGAAATACAAGCAGAACTGTTGTTGTTATAAGTGTTCTACTAATGTAATGTCATATAGCCTATTTGCAGTCTTTACTTGTAACTTACAGTTGCCTTCCAGGAGTTAATCCTCAGGCTTGAGAGACAGAGTCTATAGACCAGAGTGTACTGCTCTCAGAATTGGGCTCTGTATGTATTTTGGATTTTTCACCATTATTTGTTTGCATGAATACTTTTTTTTTGGTCCATTATCAGGAATGTTTTAGCAAGCGCATCTGCTGACAATACTGTGATTCTGTGGGATATGTCTGTGGGTAAGCCAGCAGCCAGCCTGACGCTGCATACAGACAAGGTATGTAATAATTGCTGTGTTTCTTCCATGGTAAAATACAGAGGAAAAAAAATAACTGCAGTTTTTCCTTAACTGCCTGGTACTGAACCCTTAGAATAAGAATTCTGTAATTTTCTAACAACTGTGCAGAATTGCTTAAGTTTCTTAATTAGTTGCTTTTGCAAACAACACTGTATTTACTTTTTTAAATGTTATCTAACTCATCCTTTAGAAAGCTAGCAAAGATTTACAGCAGTTTTTAAAATGCTTTTTTGTGAAAGCCCTAATGATGGAGAATCTAATAATGCTGGTAAAAGCTACAAAAATAGATGTCTGAGCATAGGTCAAACTGTAACTCCCTCTTAAGGGAACAATGAGTGTCAGTTACAGTTTGTTCTAGGTGAAAAAGGTTTAAAATAAATGATACTAAAATACCATAGTGATGGGTACTTCAGAAATGAATTAATCTCATAGTAATTAAAGTGGGAAGGCTAGCTATTAATAGTTGTAACCTTATTTTGCTTCTAACAAAGTCACTGCCCTTGACAAACTCCTGATGTTCATTTTTTGTTAACATCTGTGCTTTTTTTCCCCAAACTGGAAGCAGATATTATTTTACCTCCTCCATCGATTTTTTTTTTTTTTTTTAAATCTAGGGCAGAAAAGGGCCAGGCGGTTCTGTTCAGTTACATTATATTGGAAAGTATCTTGTTTCCACCAGGTGGGGGTGTTTGAAGCAATGTGCATCTCTTGCACTGTTTTATGAGCAGAGTATCAACAAGCTCATGAGGATGGTTTTTTGGGGGGAAAATGTGCTGGCCCGGGGAAGGGGTGGTTGTGCTTTGTTCCAAGAAAGTTCCTGTGTATGTGTGTTATATAAAATCTTGCATTATCCAGGTGCAGACATTGCAGTTTCATCCGTTTGAGACTCAGACCCTTATTTCTGGATCTTTCGATAAGTATGTCGGGGTAATGTTTTCAAATGTTGCACGCAGGGAGGGTATTAGTATTCAATTAAGCCCGTTAGGTTGTCTTGTGTTTTCTTTTTAATTTTTTTATAACTCTGCCTATTTGAGTAATGCTGTTATTTTTTTCCAGCAAGCTAGCCAGGTTTGTATGTGGACAAAATGTAGTTTTCCTTACCTCTTTTTTGGAGGCAGCCAAATGCTTTAACCATCTGGACTGACATTTTCTGTGCCAGGTGTCTGTTCCAAACTGAATTTATTTCTCTATTTGTCCTTACGGGATTTTCTGCATTAGAAGTGTGTCGCTTTTTATTCCCGTGAAAACTTGCCCAGGTTTTGCCAACCTGTAAGGCCAGGGTAGGGCATGCCATAGCCAAAGTGTAAAGGGCTGTCTCCTCTGATTGCAGCCTGGATATGCTCAGAAAAGGTTTGTGTCTGCAAGCTTGGACTAACTCTGTAACTGCCAGTTCTTATAAGCCCTGCCAGCTAAAAAACTTCCTCTCTGTTCTCCCATCTCAATGGAGTAACTTTTTAATTTTGTTCTATAACCATGATTTTCTTACACTGAATTTTTTTATTCTGCTTTTAAGACTTCGCCCTTGTGTTAAAATATTTATAGACTTGTCAGTCTTCAGCCAAGCCTTCGTGTTCTCTTGGCTTCTGTTACGCTCTTGCTACATCTGCTGAAGCGAAAGTATGGGAGAAAAACCTTTTGCTGCTATTAGGAAGCTACTTCTCTTTATTTCCTTCCCCTCACCTTCCTCTGATAAAAGGAAGCATAAAGTCCAAATGCTGAGACCAGCTAGTCGATCCCTCTTTGGCTGTCCCTTTGATACCATGGACCTCTATAAACCAGTAGACTGCCTGTGTGGATTTTTCCTGCAGAGCTTTGCCAGGACTGCAGGCTATTCAGTGAATATTGGCAGAGGACTTCATAGCCTGAAAATCAGACTGTTAAAAAGGCTGTTGTGTAAAATGCCTGGTGAAAGAGCTTTTGCTTTAATTATGGGATAGGGTGGGAGCAGGTTCCACTGTGGATGTTGATCGCAGTGACACATCACACTGCGCTGACATGACCACTCCTCCCTTGCATTTGCACCCAGGAGCTTTTTAAGTTGGGACAGATTCTGCAGCCACTGGTCTGTAAAGCACATGTCTGTAAAGAACCCCAGAGGACCCACTAACTTCCATCCACTCTCTCCTTTTTGGAGTGGTGTTTCTCTAAGTACTTGTAAAGATTGTTGGTTTTTTTTTTTTTAATTTCTTTTTATTAAAGCATATTTGAAAATGTGTTAATATGTATCACAAAACGATTTCCTAATTAGTACATCATTACTTGACTTTACTGAAGTCTGTTCATAATTAAGTGATATATTTGCATAATTATGGTCTATGTGATAAGTATCTTATGTATTGAGTAAATTCAAGCTCTGTTTGCTTAGTTTCAATAGAATGGCTGTTCATAACCGAGTTGAAACTTTGAAGTACATGGAAAAACCTTGTGCTTATCTGCGAGATTTTAATCTGTTATTGAATTGGAAGACTAAATAGTGAAGTTGTTTCCATTTTAATTACATGGAGCTTCTTTAGACGCCAGTGGTAAAGCAAACTATGTCACAAAGTGTTCTGCCCTGATTTTTGTTTTTTAAATTTTATTTCCTGTCCCTTTTTCCCATAGATCCGCAGTGCTATATGACTGCAGAAACCCGCAAGATAACCATCGAGTGTGGAGGTTTAGTGGTCAGGTTGAGAGAGTAATTTGGAATCACTTTTCACCTTGTCATTTCTTAGTGAGTACATGCTCTTCTATTCTTGGGCTGTTTTAACCTGTATTTTTGTGTTCATACTGTTTCTGAATCATAACAGAGCTGATAGACAGTTGTGTGGTTTGTGCTGCTTATTATGAAAATGCAGTCCAGGGGAGGATGTTTTTAAGCAGTTTTTTCAACAGGTATATTGAGACCAGCTACTTATTTGGTATCTTCATTGTGACAGTAGAAAAGCTGTTGATGCTGCTCCTTTAACACTCCAGAGGTGGCACCTGTGTCATGTTGTTACATGACAGTGTTCAGTGGCCAGGATGTATTTTTCTCTGCATAGTTGCTGTTGTGTTTCATGTAATGAGGCAACTGCTCTTGAGAAGTAGCTCCGTAGAACTAAGAACCCGAATGTTGATCCAGTGTTTCAAGCCAGCGCTAGAGGGCACTGTCCTCCTGGCTGCTATGGAACGATCTACTTGTTTCGGTCGGAAAAGAATTCCGAGGTCAAGTCCAACCATTAACCCAGCACTGCCAAGTCCACCCCAAACCATGTCCATAAGTGCCTCATCTGCATGGCTTTTAAATACCTCGAGGAGTGGGGATTCCACCACTTACCTGGACAGTCTGTGCCAGTGCTTGACAACCCTTTCAGCAGGTTTTTCTTAATATCCAATCTAAACCTTCCCTGGGGCAAATTGAGGCCATTTTCCTTTATCCTATTGTTACCTGGGAGAACCCCCACCTAGAGTACAGAGTAGAAATACCTTGGTTTTGTCAAGATTTTTACAACAGAACTTTTCAACATAATTTAAAAAGAAATCTTTATCATCTCAGTGGCTCTCTAGTCCTCTGTTGCTTTGTGTATACAGCCAGCAGAAGGGGTTGCTCAGTTCTGTTGGGTTTACGATGCAGATCTCTCAGTATAATCACACTTAGCTTTGCACAGGACCACTGGATGGCTCCAAAAACTTTGAACTGACAGTGAAGAGACTAAAGGCTTTGTATTTCATTGCCTAACATGGGGTCCAAGCTTAGCAGGGCAACTGTCTTCAAAGTACACTTCAAGAAATCTATATAGGATTAAGATTTCCATGTAATTCAGTGCAGCATAGTTTAGGTACACAGAATGGCTTGGGCAGCAAGTGGATGAAGTCTCAGACCTGGGAACAGTGTAACATGCCCTACAGAGCGGTGTCTGCCTCAGATCACAGGGATTTATTAGAGGGTGGGTGTTATTTCATAGGAAGTTTTTTTTCAAATGAATGACAATGACTGTTTGTTTTTTAAATGTTGTGGTTTCCTCAGGCAAGCACAGAGGATGGTTTTGTGTACTGTCTGGATGCTCGTTCTGATAAGCCCCTGTTTACTCTGAAAGCCCATGATGAAGAGGTGTCAGGTAAATTGCCTGTGTGTCCTGTTTGTCCCCAGGGGCAAGGCACATCTGGAAGATGCCTTTAACCTATAGGACTGAGGTGGTAGTGATTCCTTGTTTAACAAATAAGTCATGCATGCTAATCATGGTAGCTGGCACATGAAACAAATCTCTGCTGAGAAGGAATTGTAAGCTAAGTAATTTAACAACAGTGAACTTTCCTCACTGACTGTGGTGAATAAGCATGTAAAAACAGATTAATTCACTTGAAACACACTCCTTGTGTGTTTGTGTTTGTTTTTTTTTTTTTTTTTTTGGATGAGAAAATACAAAAATGATGGAATCCGGTCTAGGATTATGAACTATAATGTTTACCTCCTACCTCTGTAATTATTTTATACTGACATTCACTGAGAATGATTTAGGTATGGCACACGGGAAGGTCTTCACACTGCCTCCTTTAGGCTGCTTTAATTTGATCAGTGTAGGAGCTTCCAAAAAGGAACTTGAAGTCCCTGATCAGGTGTCTAAAATGAGGTTGTATGAATATGCCCCATCATCTTGGACAGCAAGCAAGATGGTCTTTGCAAATGAATGAAGAAAGCTACTTGGAGAAGCAGATAATGTGAAGAAGTAGAACAAGCATGTCGTTGCACTGTTACTGTTGTTGGATTGAGAGACAAAATAGGCCTACGTGATTCTTTTTGGTCTCACTACAGGGAGCAGGATAAAACGTTCATTAATATTTTGCTCCTTTGTGCTGGAACTGAGTTTAGTGTGAGGAGAATACTAAGGTGGTTCTCCTGACTTCACTTCAAAATGTATCCTCATCTCTGTGGTTCTCACATGGCTGCACTCTAAATCTTCCAGGGCTACAACTAAGCAGTCAAGTCAAAGGGTGCCTTGTGACATCATCTGCTGACAAATATGTGAAAATTTGGGACATCCTGGGAGACAGACCAAGTTTAATCCATTCCAGGGATATGAAAATGGTATAGTAATATTTATTGATTGATTCCAATAAGTTTTATATATAAACTATGTCTGCTTATTCTTTTTTTGTCTAGTCTGAATCTTGTTTTACCTAACATATTTTAGGGGAAAAAACCCCATCTGTATATTCTGGGTAAATCATTCTCATTACAGTGCAGTACTTAACTTGGAATTGGCAGGCTGCTTCAAAGCCTCAGACTCAAATTCCAGATAGAATGCTCTGAGTAGAAATACAGGTGCTCAAACCTGCACCTGCCACATTCAAGACAAAGATGTGATTTACTGTTTATAATTAGCAGCTCTTGACTTTCATTTTGTGTCTTTACAAAAGAAGTTTCAGGAAACTTAAAGAGTTTTGTTAACATTTGTTACAACTTGCTTGGTAGAAAGTATTTTTAGATGACAAATTCAGTTTAGGATGATATTTAAAAAAAAATCCTCTTCTTTCTTCCACTCTCCCAGGGTGTTCTCTTCTGTGCTGCTTGCTGCCCTGACTTCCCATTTGTCTTTGCCTTTGGAGGAGAGCGAGAAGGGCTGCGTGTTTGGGATATAAGCAAGATTTCTGCAGGTAATGTTCTCATTTCTTTGAATATTGTGGTTCTCCCCTTGCCTGCAGGATGTATTTGTATTCAGAAATGTAGCGTGTCTGAGGGAAACTGTAGGTTAGTATTTTTACATACCCCATGACTGGTTATGTGTTCACGTTCTCATATTCAAAAAGAGAACTGTTTGAGATGATTTATTTTCTTGTAGCTGAAGTGAAACAACTGATTTCTTATATCTATGTTTAATTTTTTTTCTTAATGTTCCTGGTGTAATCAGGTACCATATTCCTTGAGTACTTGTGGGAATAAAAGTGAGGACTGGGTTGATAAGTTATTGTAGCTACAGGTAACTAAAGGGCATGAATTTTTGGAGAAGGTTTTTAAGAGCTTGGTGGAAACCAGAGAGACTAAAACCAGAAATAAATTAAACTTGATGTTGTGCTCTTCAAACCTCATCCATTTCACAGTACTTGGGTACAGAATTATGCAGAGGGAAACCTCTAGATGCTCTGGGGGAAAAATAACAGAAATTGTAATTAAAGTATCATATGCAGATGATTTTTCTGACATGTAGCCTTCGACTCCCTACTTGGGGCAAGGGGAAAAGCTTTGAAACTGCACCAGGTTAGGACTTCCATTCCATTCCATGGTGTTCACTGTGCTGTACCTGCTGTACTTATCTCTGGCAGAGTAACATGTAATCAATCCCCTGTCTGTATTGCAGTGAATGAAGTTTTTGGAAATAGAGAGAGACTGGTTCTGGCTAGTGCCAACTCCGTGGCTTCCAACTCCACAGCCAGCAGGAACAGCAACAACTCAGAGACAGCAATGGAATCATGAGGGACCAAACATCAAAAAACTGGAGTAATTAATGGGACTACGACTAATGTATATTCTACAAATGCCCATTAGGTGAGAGTTCATGGAAATGGCTCTAATGTCTTGCAGTCTACAGGCTTCTTCATCTCAGACAGGGTGGTGTGGTTAAGCTCTTAAGTTCCTGCCTCTATTACTGGCTTTGAAAGATTAAATCACTTGCTTTTGCCTGAGATGATGATCCCTGAAACAGGGGCTACCATGTGTGAAGCTGACATATGAAATGCAACAGTCACTACAAAAGTATTCTGTGGCTACCAGAAGTTTGTTAAATACTGCAAAGGTTTTGATCTTCTACCTTCTAAGGGCCCAAGAAAAAAATACTTCACGTGACAGTTGTGTAATAAATAAACAAAAGCTGAATGAAATGACAAGTGTAAATAGATAATTTATCCTTGAGGCTAGGTTTATAGATTTCTAATACAAATTTTAAAATATCTTCCATGTAACTTTTTAAATCTTAAGAGTAGTTCTCAGGCAATAAAATGGTGTCCCCAAGTAGAATCTTGAAATGTTATTTCTAACGTTCAGCTCACCAGAAATCCCAGCAAACCAGAAATATCCCAGCTCCATCCATCAAGATTGGGTGTTTCTTTTCCCTGGTTCCACAGCACCTGAAGCCAACTGATGTTGCACATGGTACTGAGTTTTTCTTCAAGCTCCAACTGTAACATATTTTAAGAGAATTTGAACTGAAAGAAGGAGCTGCTACTTGGAAAGGATGAGAACCTGTCAGGACACAAAGTGAGGGCTGGGATCTCAGCAGGTCCCTGTCTCTGGTGAAAGCTCTGTGTCATGTACTCGTCACTTCACCCAGGTGTTTATGCCCAGCACCTGAAGGCACAGGAACATTTTGAGTCTCAGCCAAACCACCAACTAATGCACTTTGTTTCCAGCATCAGGAACCTAATCAAGGATTGTGACTCCAACAATTTCCTTGCATTTAAAGTGGAACACCCGAGTGCCTTACCCCAGGCCAAGAAGTTAAATGATCCTCTTACCCTCCTGTGAAGTGCTTCCCACTCTGAAGGTGTCTGCAAAATGCCCTGGGTATTAAAGCCACTGCTGTCAAAGCAGCTGTAATGTCACGGCTCGTAGCTGACAAGCTCTTCCCGCTGCTTTCCACCCTAACATGTTGTAACTCACTCTGGTGAGATAAAGCAGGTAAATTGTATCACTACGAACTGCAGATGGGAAAAAGGCTGGAGCTTTCCTTCCTATCCCTCGAGGGTAAGTGGCTGCTTCTAAATCCACTTCAGCTGTTTCTAGTCTGGTGACAGGTGTTCAGCATGGCTCTGCAGGAACCAGGAATACTCTGGATGGGTTGGAATTCCTGCCTCCCTCCTGTCTCTGCGGAGCAGTACTGAGTGATGTGTGGAAGCACCGGAACCACTTCTGTTCAGGTGCTCTCCAGTGAAAAGCTTGAAGTTTTTTAAAGCTTTAATTTTAAATAAATACTTTGTGTTAAGCTCTTTGAGGGTAGTGATTTCTCTTATACCTCTAGTATTGGCACTGTAGCTCTAGAAGATGTTTTTTGTTTTAGGAAGAAACTGCATCACTGGAAGCAACACATCTTTCCCTTAACAAAATCCCACAACTTGTCTCTGGAGCTTTTTAGCCACATACTGATCTGAGGGCAAGCATTTGCAGGTTTTAAGAACCCAGGGAGCTCTCAAGGAAATATGGGGGACAGAGAAAAGTACAGCTGAGCTTGGGCCCTTTAGGGCAAGAAGCAGAGCCTCTTTCACAAGGGAACCTCCAATTACCTTGTCCAGAGAACAGAGCTCAGCTGACTCTTCTTTTGCAGCACAGCCAGAGGAATGACACAGCAAATGGGGAGGGCTTAAAGACCAGTTCTTCAGCTGCACCTATTCACGGAGGTGCTCCTATCTGTACCCTTTCATGTCCCAGGAAAGCTTGTGAGAGGCAGATGATTAAAAAGGGTTGTTATTTCTCTTAGTGTATTTATAGAAATAGGAACTTTTTTTCAGAATATGTAAATATTAAAAAAGCAACATTTGAGAAGAGCCACATTTTTAATTATTTCAAAAGAAAACAACCAAGTGTAATAATCTTCATTCCATAAATAATAATAGCAGCAAACCCTCCCATCATTCTAGGTGGTAAAAGGTTTACAGCACAAGGAGTAATATATACTGTAAACACTGCCTGATAGTCTGTAAGCCTTGTCCTTACTGAGTCTATACAGTCTTTATCTCTTCACCTGCTTACACATTCTAGTGAACTCGAGGGAGAGGAGGCAATAACTGTTATCCAAAAGCCAATCTTTGATTCTCTGGAGTGGGGTAATGGCGTTGTTTGCAAGGGCTGATTTCACTGGCCTTTCTTTTTTTTTTTTTTAAATGAAACAGTTTTGTTTTAAGAAGGAGACCTGAGCATTGTTAAGTCTTTGCTTTGTGCCAAACCACATCCTTCAGTTAAAAGGTTTTAAAGAAACAAAATACACCAACAGCCACCACCATTTTTTGTTTGTTTCTCTTCATGTCATGGCTTGGGCAGTTAAGGACAGTTGGCTTACAGGTCACTGCAATCGCTCAACTACATTTCTGGTTTGTGGCTTTTTGCTTAAAGGGCTATGCAAGGTGTGACGTGTCCCAACACTGGATGGATTAATCTGAGTGACTTGGAAAAGAAGTATGCACAGCGTGTGTGAAAAAATCTCTTTGCCTCACATTTCCTTCTTAGCAACTCTTCACTTGTACAGGCATGATCCAGTCTCGTTCAGTGTTTTGGCTACAGAGTATATTAAGTGGTGGTAGTGTGGAGACCAAAACAGAAGGAGAACTCCTCACCTGACACACATTGTTGACTGGGGAAACAAGGAAGAGGGTTTTTTCCTTTCCTACTTATCCAAGAAAATGCCCCTCTCTTCTTCATTTGTGTCCAGAGAGGGCATCACCTGTAGAGTAGACTCCATTATTAATCCTACAGTCTTCAGTCCTCATAGAGTCTATTAATTCTTCCTCTGAATCCTCCTCCTCTTCCTCCTCTGGGGCTGACAAGCTGGATGTGGGGCCTTTACATATTTTTAGGTGGCGAGTGAGGTGATATTTGGTTAAATAAGCCTTGGAACATTTTTCACAGACGTAGTCCCTCTTTCCTTCATGTGAATTGAGATGTTTCTTCAGGTGATTTGTCCTCAGAAACAGCTTGTCACACTTGGGGCACTTGATCTGCCGTTCTCTGCAAGATGTAAAACAGTGAGTTTGCTCCTGCAAGGCAGCTGATACAGTATTAAAATACTGGTTAAGGCCCATGTTTTGGCAAGAGCAGAGATGTTGCCCTGATGGAAATGTCAGTCTCCCTCCTTCCCACCCTGCATAAATGGGGGGCAGGGGGCACAGGGAAGAAATAAGACAACAAAGCTGCTGAGTGCTAACGACCCTCAGTCTGTAAGGGCTAAGCTTGAGGAGTTTACCAGACTGCAACAAATTCTGCAGATGACAATGCAAAATACCTCCCAGCCGTAGTGCTCCTGGCTCAGGCTGTAGGAACAAGCAGCCAGGCAAGTCTGTCTGTCTGTCTACCTCTCTCACTCATGCTCCCTGCAATACACTGTCTCCTGGGCAGCATGACAGGAGCACCAATGGATTCCACGTGACAAGAACCAGATGCCAAAAATGAAATAAGCAAAGGAACTAGCTTTGGGCAAGTTTTAAAGGTTTTTTTGATCGGGAGTAAATATACAGGGCAGAGAGATTCTCAGAGCAAAAGACCTGGCCTGGCACAGGGCTCTGGGTAGGGATCTGCCTACAGAAGGAGCAGGAGACCAAGCGCTTGAGTGAGACCTGCAGGGTGGAAAGGCGGGGAATGGTAGCACCCCACCCCTAGCGCAGAGAGGCAGAGTTCACTAACAAGCTACTTGGTGAGAATAGCAGGGAGGAGTTTATGGTCCTTTGTGGTCACATTGGGATGTGTAAGCAGTTCTCAGCAGAGAATGAAATGCAAGTCAAACAACCCCCGTCTCTGTTCAAAATGATGAACACTCCAGACAGCCATTTCACAAGACAAGTAGCATGCTTGGAATTTACTGTGTCATTAAAACACTGCAAACACTAGAACTGGACAACTGCAGCCAGTACAAGGACTTTGTCCAGCCTGACTTCTCTGTCATTTTAGAGAGTGAACCTATCTGTACTCCCTAGGCCAAACTATTTGCAAACTGGAGGTTCTCTCTCAGGCTGTTCAGCTTCATTTATTGCACTGGCCAGTCCAACACGCCCTGTGAGATCACTTACTGTGTGTGAGTGAGTACGTGCTGCTTGAGGTCCTGCCTCCGCATGAACAGCTTCTCGCAGTAATCGCATTTGAGGTTCTTCTCCCCGGTGTGGATGACCATGTGCGATTCCAGGTGGGCCTTCTGGGTGAACGACTTGTCACAGAGGGTACAGCGGTAGTTCTTCTGACCTGGGATTACACACATACACCCACAAGTTGACAGTCAGTGTCCCAAGAAACATGGGAAGCAAAGAAGCCTGACCACTGCTGAAAAATAAAATTTTATCCTGAAGAAAGGCAGGTTCTTTGTGAATAGGACCTGTTTCCTCCTGCAGTTCCTTCAGACTCAGAATAAAGGCCTACTTAGTTCCACAGTCTAGATTTAGCTATGGAAAAAAGAGGCATCTGATTTCAACATTTCCAAAGCTTTTCAACCCTCACCCCATTCCCCCAAGTCAAAAAAACTTCATGATACTGTTTCAAACCACGGAGCCCCTTGTGTGATGCACGTTTCTGCACTTTGTCCTTCTAAACACCATTGATTACTCTCCCTCCACTGCTCATAGTCAGTCAGCCTTTCCTGTGGGATAGGCTTTCTGCTTCTTCCACACTATGTCTCCTTGCTCTGTATATCAGAACAGCCCTAGTAGGTCTATAAATTTTTCGGTGAAGAGATTTAGGCAAACATGTAACAGGATTAGTCTTATCCAGGATGAATTCTTCAGTAAAAACAATGTTAGCTTCCTTTGTAATAGTAACCATGGTAACCATCTAGTTACTGTACATTAGTACATCCCCATCTCCACATCCCATTTCCCACAGGAACCGTATCTGATGTCTTACCGGAGCCCAGTCACATTTGAAGCACTGCATTGCCTTTGTCTACAAAAACAAGTTCTCTTATCTAACAAACACACAGGTACAAAGCTCACTGGCTCTTTGATAACTTCTACGTTTTAATCCATTTTTCCACTTATCTGTAGTTCTTCCACTATTCTTTGCCAGAAATAGTTCAAAACCCCTGCATGCCACTGAATTCAGACTAAGTTTGAATACCATCTGAATCCCACCCCACTGACTGTTCTGAGGTTGTACTTGATCAGTTTATTAAAACTCCTGACTACTGAGCCTACAGCTTCCTATGCTTGACTTGAGGCACCAAACCCCCAGTTTTATTCCTTTTCCAGCTTTGTGACTTGCATTCTTTGATTCCCAATAGGTATTTAAACCTTACTAAAAAAAAAAAAAGAGGCACACTGCCTATTGCTGATCTGTAACCTGTCCTTCACCCTCTCCCCTGTCCTCACTCAATGTTAAATCCACGCCTTTTCATATTTCCTCTCTTCTTACACAACTGAAAAATCTGTCACGATTTTGTTTTCCTCTGTTAGTGCTCATTCCCTGATCTTCTGGCAATTCCTCCTTTATCCTGAGAGTCTCTGGTGACACCCCAATGCCCACAGAAGTCAATAGCATATTCAGTTTTGATGAGTGACAGAGC